AAAAAAAAAAAAAAAAGAAAATATGCTCCAACCCACTAACAATGACAGTAGCCACAAACATTTGTTGGCTCCATTCTTTGTACTAGACACATATATTAATTTACTTAATCTTCATGACAACACTAAAAGATAGAGTGGCCCCTATGGCTCAGTGGGTAGGGGGCTGGCCCCATATACTGAGGGTGGCAGGTTCAAACCCGGCCCTAGCCAGCTACTTGGGAGGCTGAGGCAAGAGAATCACCTAAGCCCAGGAGTTGGAGGCTACTGGGAGCAGTGTGATACCATGACACTCTACCGAGTGCAATAAAGTGAGACTCTGTCTCTACCAAAACAAAAAAAGCACTAAAAGATAGATATTATCATTACACCAATCTTAAACACAGAAAAACTGAGGCACAAAAAGGTCAAGTCATTTTCCCAAGGTTTATTGACTAGTGAGTTGTGAATTACATCATTTGATGAAATATAAATTTAAAACAATAACTTTTTCACATATCACAATGGCAAAAATGTTTTAAAATGACCCCCAGGATTCATGAGGTTACAGTAAAATGAACACCATAAACTACTGCCAAGTATGTTGAAATACACACAGACTTTGAGAAATTCTTCTACTCAGAACCTCTCCTGTGAGACACATTTCCACAAAGATGTACATACAAAAATGTTCTCAGTATCACCAAAATGTTGCAAAACTGAAAACAACCAAGATGTCAATCAACAAGGGATGAGTTAAATGAATAATGTCACAACTTTACTAATGAACATCAGGCAATATCTTAAAACAAGTGTAACAGAGGTAGAAGAATCAGTAAAATCAGTCATTCTAAGAAAAAACAAAATACACATGCAGGTAAATCCCACATGTGTCTATAAACACAAAGAGATTTGCCAAACTGCTACCAGCATAGCACAGCTGAAGGAAAAAGTAAGCATCTTCTCTTTTTAGTCTAAAGTCATCAGGAACCTTCGTTTTGTTTGTTTGTTTGTTTCAGTTTTTGGCCGGGGCCGGGTGAGAACCCACCACCTTCGGTATATGGGGCTGCCACCCTACTCGTTTGAGCCACAGGGGTCGCCCCGGGGAACCATTGATTTTTTACATAAAAACTGTAAATCCGGGCGGCACCTGTGGCTTAAAGGAGTAGAGCGCTGACCTCATATGCAGAGGTGGTGGGTTCAAGCCCAGCCCTGGCCAAAATTTAAAAAAAAAAAAAAGTTTAAAAAAAAAAAAACTGTAAATCCATGTACGTCAGATATGCCATGTCTAAAAACAATTATTAGGGAGAAAAAGACTCCTTAAACACACCGCCTCTGATCACAGACTAACTGGAATCCAGTCCCATCCTCTGCCTACTGTGGGTCGCTGGGCAAATACCTTCAGTCTCCTCTGCCTCAGTTTCCCTAATTCCTCAACAGGATAATGGTAGTGCCTCCCTGAGAAAGGATGAGGTAAGGAACATCTGCGCTGGTGGCCCCAGAGACAGCACCATTGAGGACCCACTCACCGAGGATCATAGAGCAGCGCTGGGAAGGCTCCTGGCCCGTGAGCAGCGTGTAGTATTCAGGGTAGTAAAATTCCAGGGCTTCTAGGAAGGCCTCATAGCCTCTCTTGCCGCGGCAGCGCAAGATGTCCATCAGGCGTCCTGGGAAGGGAGGGTTACCCAGGAGTCAGAGGATGGCCCCCTCTCCCCGCACCTGGTTGCTTTTTCCCCCACTATGCTCCAGGCCCATGTTCTAGATTTTTGAGCTAGTGACACACACAAGGGCCTGTCCCAACACATTACGGAAGAGAGCCCGTCTGCCATAGCTGGGAGGACTAGACCCCCCCCCTCCTTATGGCACCTGATCTACAGCAGCTCAGTGACACCACACTGTTAGCTGTCTGTTCAACAGCCTGGGGCAGCCTATCCATCCCCAAAACACTTGACCAATTCCTGAATTTCCCACCATTAGACCCTCATTAATTCTCCAACCCTGGTTCAAAGTCATACCCTGTGGAAGTGGGGACCCTTGTAAAGCTGAGATGGGCCATTAACACTTGAAGAAAACGGACCCAAAAGTGTGTGGCACAGAGGAGGCAGCAGAGCGAAGGAAGATCAAAGAGCATGAGAAAAGTGCCAAATCCACTGGCTGTGACCAGGAGGTCCCAGGCCTAGACGGTCCTGGCAACCACACCAGAACCTCTACTCTAACGTGCGCCCAGGAAGTGGGAGGGGACCCCAAGACAACACCATGACGCCAGCGTTGGCATCGCAGGCCGCCAGAGTGCACTGGGGGGTTCAGGAGATGGAGAGATGGAGGACATACCCAACCAGTCCACTCTACCCATGTGGAGACCGAGGCCTCAAGCTCTGGGGCTTTGTGTGCCGCGCTCGACAGCACTGTCGGCCGGGGTCGTGTCGCGCTCAGGGCCCTGCCGGCGCGCCCCCGGGGCTCACCGGTGCGGTTGACACGGCACGGGAAGCGATAGGTGCTCAGCACCTCCTCCTCGTCCTGCTCGTCGATGACCCGGCACTGGCGCAGATACGGCGTGAGCTTGGCTGGATTCAGGGCGCGCGTCAGCCGGTGCCGGACGCCCTCGATCTTCTCCCATAGCGCGTCCTCCTCCGCCTCGGACCCTGAGCCAGTCCCGGCCTCCTCCTCAGCCTCCCCCGTCTCGGCCCGGCCGGGCATGGCCGCGTCCTCGGGGTCTGCAGACGAGAGGCGCGCGAAGGTCGGCAGAACGCCCTGAGGCGTTGTGCGCCGGCCGATCCCACGCCGGGGCGTCGCCCCCAGGACCCGCCGCCGGTCGCCACCGGGGCCCCGTCCCCAGTGTTCCGCGGCCCCACGCTCGCCGGGACTCACCCCGCACTCCGCAGCCGCCTCGGGATCCCGGGTCCGCGCTCGG